AGGCCATTTGAACAATATAATGTCCCGTTTGATCTCTCCGATGATTATCCAAGAAATGATCTTCACAAAACTTAGTTTGTGAATTTAAATTAAGAGATTCATCTTCCATCGATTCTAACTGCCAAAATTTAGAAATTAAATTTTCTAACCCTTCTTGCTCGGAAAGAAGAAAGCAATGCAGTTTATCATCAGCTGTCGGTAGACATCAAGTAACTATGTAATTAAAGACCGAATTTTGCAGAGTGATTGAATCATTTATTTTGATTTGATCTGCCTTAATAATTTTAAAGAATACTTGTGCACCGAAGAGCATTGAAATCTTAGCTGGCTTATGAAATGATGAATCTGCTAATTTAATATGCTTTGGCAGAGAAAGTTTTGATATGTCTAAATTACAAGACGGAGTGACTGATGGTATTTTAGGAACAACCATAAACTTTAAGCTTTTTTTGAATGAATTATCTTTATTTGAAATAATAGCATTTGTTTCATATTTTATATCTTGCGCGAGCCCATTAATGCCAGAAACAGAAGAATGAATCCGATTTCTTTTTAAACCCAAACTTATTGCGCAATCGCTCGAAATAAAATTTATTTCTGAAGCACTGTCCAAAATTATTCGAACTGGCATTCCATTTACATAAGCTACAGCCGTAATCATTAAATATTTCATCGGCTTTGAATTCTTTTTATCCGTTGGACGCAAAGCAAAGCATTGCTCGGAGTTGACCTTGTGAGCAGTATCAATAAACCCTTCTGCCGTGGACGGAATTGATACATGTGTTTTGTCTCGATGCAATTTAGCATTATGGAATGAACTGCAAATCTGGCAACGAGATTTAGAAGTACACGATTTAGATGGATGAAAATTCAAACAATTTGTGCAAATGTTATGCTTCTTACAAAGTTCATATCTCTCCAAAGGGGAATGATTTAAAAACATCTCACAATTATACACAGAATGTTTCTTGAGTTGGTTACAGATGACGCATGCTTTCTGACCTTGATTAGAAATGGATTCAACGGCAGTCGATGTTTTATTTTTATCTTTAGTTAAAAAAGATTTCCAGCGAGAATTAATTACACCGGAAGAGCTTTTATTTTTTATCGGAATACTTTTTTCTGCGAAATCTGATTTAATGACTGATTCTAGTTGAATGCATCTTACTTCTAAAAACGAAAGAAAGTCTTGTAAGCTAGGTACCTGGGTCGTCGTCAAACTTAATTGGAACAATCTTTGAGATTTCTTATCGATTTTATTATTTAAAACGTGTAAGATAATTGCATCTGACAAGGAATTTGATTCTAATTTCAGATTTTTCAAAAATCGCATATGATTCCGAACAGTATCGATTAGTGATTTAATTTGAGTGGAATTTTCACTATGCAATTTATTAATCGAAAGTATACCAGCGATATGTATGTCAACCAAGGCTCTTTTATTTTCATACCTATTTTCCAACGCCTTTAGAAGGGAATCAAAGTTATCTTGATCGCTTTGTATTAAGGTCGCTTCATTTTTAAGAGCACTTTTTAGATACATAAGTTTTTGAGATTCATATAAAGAATCATTATTTCCGATAACGCTCATAAATTGTGTTTTAAAATTTTCGAATTCTTGGAACTTTCCACTAAACGTGGGTAACGGAAGATCTGGTAATTTTATATGACTCTTTGGAGTTAATTTAGCGTTTTCTGTTTTCTGCTCTTCATATTTCGATAAAAATACAAGGATGCTTACCTTGAATTTTTCTGCATCTTCTTCAATATCGCTAAGAATATCCAATGAATTATTCAATTCTATTTTATCAGGAAGAGCAAAATATTTGTTTTGGAGGTTATCCAGTTCTTTAAGTATATCGTTTATACTGTTCAGTTTTGATGTTAATTCGATATAGTCCTTGGTTCCGTCTACAGCTTGGAACGCATTAACGAACTGTTCGATTTTTTTCAGCTTATTTTTGTAAGCGGTTTGCTTACGATTAAGTTCTGTTATCGTCATGATGAGACGCAATTTATTCCTTCAAACAAAATATTTTATTCCTTTTCAAAGGAATCGCTTTGATTGGTAGGAACGTTTATTGTGGACTGACGAAAGTCTGAACAAGGGCTGCTTCAAAACGAAACGAAATTACTTCTTGACAAAGAATTTATCCATAGGCAAGTATGATTCAACTCCGGCTCGACGGACCAATGTTTCCGTCCAAACTCATGGAGAGCAGTGGAGTGGAATTTGTATTTTAATGTCCGTCGAATAAGTGGAAGCATAGCCCTTGTTCAGGATTACAACATTTATTGTACTATCACACACACAGAACTATATACACGGTTTTTTAACAAGCGAAAGACAAGACTAGTGCGTAGTAAGGTGCGCGTCGGCGCGCTCACATATTTTGGCAACCATTTATCGTCAAGATGCCAATTTACAGTTCGAAGGCGCCAACACTACCCAAAAAGGGTGTAAGGCAAAGAAGGCCGCCGGGGCCCCCCAAGGCACGTGGGGCAGCGACGTGTCCCACCCCCGGACCAGCATTCATTGAGTCAAAGAGAAAAGCTTACAAACATTGCCCATAGTGGCAGTAAAATATAAAAGGGGTGCTGGACACATAAACACTAAAAAGGGTGCCGGACACACAAACTGAGTAAACGTAGTTACAAAAATAAAACGCAATGCATACTATGCTCAAACAGGAGCAGAAATTAAATACAAGAGATGCCGGACACAACACATAAAGTCGTAACACAATTGATAAAAAGGTACAAGCTATAAAGTCTCTGTATCAAGTCGTAACAAACACAAGTCACAAAATAAGTAAGCAAAGGCAAAGGAACCAAGTCATCGGTCGCCACGAAAATATACAATTAAAATGTTACAACAGATCAGCATAAAAATCTTGCAATACAGACAATTAATAAATAAAATTATGATAAAACATCAATTACCATATCTAAAAAGCAAATATAAAACACACATAAAAGACACACACACATCACACCAATCACAGCAAACACACACACACACCAAGTCGTATAAAAAGTTAAAAGAGAATTCCAAATAGGTCATTTAAAAAGATCTAAACCCAAACCGGGAAACATCAGAGTGAGATCGACGACATCCGATTCGTTAAAAATAGAACAGATAAAACAGTTTAAAAGATTAAAAAGTCAATTAAGAAACACAATCCCAAATACAGGCTCGAAGGAGATCCCAAATACCTACAACCACCCACTGGAGAGAACGGAGGAACGAAACTAACCTCGTATAAGTTAACAAACTTCGACACAAAAACCGACTAGAGCCAAAAAGGATTTAAATAGGTCTCTATTAAAATATTTTATGAGTTAAAAGTAAGATCACGAAGTCAAACAAAATCAGACAAGTTTAAAAAGTTAAAAAATTTAAAAGGTTTGCAGAGTGAGCGTGTGATGGGAGAGCAGTAGACAATATATAAAAACCATTAAGTATACCATTATATAATATTGCAATAAAATATTCAACAACAATACACAATACAACACAGTATAAAGAGATGAGGAATAAAAAGTACATACAAAATAATGGCCGAATATGAAACGAAGCATAAAAAGTAGATAAAAAGTGTAAGACATCATAAAATACCACCAAGTGACCGACACAGTTAAAATAAAATAAAACAGGTCTTAAAGCAAGTGAAAGTCCACTTAAATCAAGTAATTAAAATAGGGTTAAAAATATCAAATGCTAAAAATGTACAGAGGATCTAAAAAAGTCAAAATATATATTTAACGAACAAAAGCGACCCAATAACGAATAACTGAAGGATCAAGACCACTGCGGAGTTAAGTATACCTGAGAATAGTGGAGTGACCTTCACGCCTTGGGTGACCCTACCAGGAGTATACACTCCCGACGTACTTCACCCACTCCTCCCAGAAACACTCCCAAGAAGGGAAAAACCCACAGTGGTAAACCAAATGTGCATACAAATACGACAAAAGTCGCAAGACATCAGAAAGATCCAAAAAGCCATTACAAAAAGGACAAACACCAAATAGAAGGAAAAAAGTTTAAAAATCAACAAAGTTTAAAAATATTTAAAAAAAACAAAAAAGGGTTATATAATCACACAGCTTGGGTCAACGAATCGCACACGTCTCCACTGATCCTGAAGGCCTCTTTAAGTTTATTAAGGGCCTGGGGATTCTTGATGAGATTTTGGAACCAGGCACTAATGTGGGCGTCTGCTGGTTTAACTAAATGAAATTTTTGAGTGAGAGAGCAGCTAAAGGTATAGTGATCTGCATCGCCCACCTGCCCACAGACGCACAAGGGGGAGTCTAGAATTTTAAAGCGACATAAATAAAAAGGGAATGGTCCGTGCCCACTTAAGAAAAAGATTAAAACTTGCTGTGAATTAAAAACTTCGGGCTTAAGTGTTCGAGATATTCCCTGACACTGGGTCCGGAGGTAGGGTTGTATTGCCTCCAATAGTTGTTCCATTCTTCGATCATAACTTCATTGAGTATCCTTTTAACATAGGAACGGGGAGCCAGGATATTTGTGTCAACCCCCGAGGTGGTCGCAAATTTTGCCTGTTGGTCGGCCAATTCGTTCCACTGGATCCCAACGTGGGCTTTGACCCAGGAGAGGCCGACCAAATATTTAATTTTTACAAGGTCTTGTTTTATGTTATTTACAATAGAAGATCTTGCGCTGGCACTCTTGATGGCGGCTATTAAAGAGAGGCTGTCAGTATGAATATTGATGGATGCATTTTTGCTGGCAGCCCAGTTGGCCGCACAATGGATGGCGGCCAACTCGAATAGCGACTCGAATAGCGGAATAGCGACTTTTAAGTTTGTAAAGATGATTTTCAATGTTAATATTTTCTTGGAGGATGCACATGGCGAATCCAGTCTCATAGGTTACGTGTGCTGCGGATGAACAATTAATCTTAACATAAAATATCCACTTTTTAATAAATTCTATTTCACTTTAAGGAAAAACAAATATAAAAGGCCGCCCCCATGTGGGCTGGAACCACCAATCATTCGGTTAATAGCCGAATGCGCTATCCGATTGCGACACGGAGGTTTCGTGCGTTTCTGAAGAATAATTAATCTGAACAGAAAAGTTACACTTTTTAATAAATTCTATTTCATTTGAAGGAAAAAATATATAGAATGTCGCCCCCGGGTGGGCTCGAACCACCAACCTTTCGGTTAACAACCGATTGCGCCAGGGAGGTTTCGTGTGGTCCTGATTAACAATTAATCATAACAGAAAAGATCCACTTTTTAATAAATTCCATTTCACTTATAGGGAAAACAAACATGGAATGCCGCCCCCGGTTGGGATCAAACCACCAGCCTTTCGGTTAACTGTCGAACGCGCTAGCTCATTGCGCCACGGAGGTTTCGTGGGCTTAATACCCGCGACGGCTCCACCTACCCAAAAAGGGTGAAAGGTAAAAAAAGGCCGCCGGGGAAGCAAAGAAACCCCCAACGCACGTCGGGGAACGACGTGCCCCAGCCCCCTGACCAGCATTTATTGAGTCAAAGAGAAAAGCTTACAATTATTGCCCATAGTGGCAGTAAAGTATATAAAGGGTGCTGGACACATAAAGAATATAAAGTGTGCCGGACACACAAACTGAGTAAACGCAGTTAAAAAATTAAAAGGCCAATACATACTATGCTCAAACAAGAGCAGAAATTGAATACAAAGGTGCCGGACACAACACATAAGTCATAACAAAAATGATAAAAGATACAAATGATAAGATCTCCATACAAAGTCGTACGAAGCACAAGTCGTAACATAGTAAAAAAAAAACAAGTAATTTACATCGTGAATAAAAAGTAAATATCGTGGCGATCCAGATGACCTGGGCCTGGTGGACGAGGTGCCCTATCGCGCCGCAACCGGTGGAGCCGGAGGTGTTGGGGCTGAACTCCACACGCGCCGGCGAGCAGGTGGGCGGGGATGCTCGCACTGCGACGCTACAACAACGAAACGGCGAGTGGTTGGCGTGAGGGATCACTGGTACCCGCGACGCCGTACTAACCTAGTTAAGTTCGATTTAAATAGTTATAGTAATTAGTCAGCGGGCGCCCCAAGTGTTTTAATACATGGATGTAGTCTCGTCCACAGGTAGTTGATCCAAGGTCAGGAGAGGCCAGAGCAGTAACAGGAACCCAGAAGATTCAAGCCTGGAAAGCCGGATCAGGACTGGAGCAAGAACAGTCGACTGGAACTCGGGAAGTAGAGGAGGTCAGCAGAGGATGGATTGAAGACCAAGAGGGAGCCAGCAGGTACTTTGTTTCATTAAATTACTAGATGAGCAGATTTAATTTTATTATTTGTTACAGGCTCCTCAACAGAGAAACTTCAAGAGGAAGACCCAAGTGGATCACCAGTGGTGATATGTTTAATTTATGTATAATTTCAATTTAACCGCTAAATTATCATTTACTAATATTTGTTTGTTTCTGGTGCCGTCAGGTGGGAGGTTGGGGGCCCCGAAATAGGTCCAAGTCGGAATCAGGTGTGGGTTACCGAATTTTAATTATTTTTCTATTTTTCCAATCTTTCCCTCAACTAACACAACCCCCTGAGAGGGCCGGAAGGGCCCTCCATGAAGTATTTTTAAAAATTTTTTCTAAGTCCTGTGTTTTGAAAAATAGCTGGCAAAAATCTTCAAAGTCGGAACTGTCCTGTGTTCCGAAAATTTTTTTTCTAAGTCCATATAGTCCCGTGTTCCAAATAATACGGGAAAATTTTCTAAGTTCATAAAGTCCTGTGCTCCGATGAAGTCAAGTTGTCTTAGATTACAATTTTAAAAATTTGTTTAAAAATCTAAAAGTATAAAATCCCTTAAACAAGACACATAGGTGGCAAAGGCAAAGGAACCAACTCATCGGTCGCCACGAAAATATACAAAAATGTTACAACGAATCAGTATAAAAGTCATGCAAGTACAGACAGTTGATAAATACAGTTGTGATAAAACGTCAATTACCATATAAAAAGTAAATATAAAACACATTTAAAAGACAGACGAGACACACACAACACACCAATTACAGCAAACACACACACACACACACCAAGTCGTATAAAAAGTTAAAAGACAATTCCAAATAGGTCATTAAAATATCTAAACCCAATCCGGGAAACATCAAAGTGAGATCGACGCAACCGATTCGTTTAAAAGAGAGCAAATAAAACAATTAAATAGGTTAAAAGATCGATTAAGAAACACAATCCTAAAAACAAGCTCGATGTAGATCCCAACTCACCCCAATTACCTGCAGTCAACCCCTGGAGAGAACTGAGGAACGGAACTAACATCGTAAATGTTAAAAAACATCGACACATAAACCGACTAGGGCCAAAAAAGATTAAAAGATTAAAGATTAAAATAGGTCTCTAAAAGATTTAATGAGATTAAAAAAAAGATCACAAAATCAAACAGAATCAAACAAGTTTAAAAGGTTTGCAAAAGTTCGTGGGATGGGAGAGCAGTAAACAATGTATAAAAACCATAAAAACATTAAACTATTATAATAAAATATTATACAATATACAAATACCATGCAATATAAAAAGATGAGGAACAAAGAATGCATATAAAATAATGGCCAGATATGAAACGAAGTATAAAAAGAATAAAACATCATAAAGTACTAACAAGTGATCGACACAATTAAAATACAATAAAACAAGTCTAAAAATAAGTGAAAGTCACTTAAGTCAAGTAATTAAAGTAGAGTTAAAAATATCACAAGTAAAAATGTGCAGAGGATCTAAAAAAGTCAAAATATATAATTAACAAACAAAAGCGATCCAACAACAAACATCTGAAGGATCAAGACCACTGCGGAGTTAAGTGTAACTGGGAATAGTGGAGTGGCCTTCACGTCTTGGGTGATCCTACCAGGAGTATACACTCCCGACGTACTTCACCCACTCCTCCCAGAAACACTCCCAAGAAGGGAAAAACCCACAGTGGTATACCAGATGTACATACAAATGGAACAAAAGTCGCTAGACAAGCAGAAAGATCCTAACAATCATTACAAAAAGGACAAACATCAAATAAAAGGAAAAAAGGTTTAAAAGTCAACAAAGTTATAAAATTTTAAAAATTTTAAAAAACACAAAAAGGGTTAATCACACAACTTGGGTCAACGAACCGCACACGTCACCTCTGATCCTGCAGGCTTCTTTAAGTTTATTGAGGGCCTGGGGATTATTGATCAGATTTTGGAACCAGGCCCTTTTGTGGGCGTCTGCGGGCTTAACTAAGTGAAATTATTGGGTGAACGAGCAGTTAAAGGTATAATGATCTGTATCGCCCACCTGCCCACAGACGCACAAAGGGGAGTCTAGTATTTTAAAGCGACATAAATAAAAAGGGAATGGTCCGTGCCCACTTAAGAAGAAGATTAAAAACTTGCTGTGAATTAAAAACTTCGGGCTAACGTGTTCGAGATATTCCCTCACTCTGACTCCGGAGGTAGAATTGTATTGCCTCCAATAGTCGTTGCAATCTTTGATCATAAGTTTATTAAGCATCCTTTTGACATAGTAACGAGGAGCCGGGATGATTGTATCAACCCCCGTGGTGGTCGCAAGTTTTGCCTGTTGGTCGGCCAGTTCATTCCCCTGGATCCCTACGTGGGCTTTGACCCAGGAGAGGCCGACCAAATGTTTAATTTTTACAAGGTCCTGTTTTATGTTATTTGCAAAAGAAGATCTGGCGCTGGCACTCTTGATGGCGGCTATTGACGAAAGGCTCTCAGTATGAATAGGATACATTTTTACTGGCAGCCCAATTGGCCTCACAATGGATGGCGGCCAATTCTGCTTGAAAAACGGAATTGTGACTTTTAAGTCTGTAAAGGTGATTTTCTATGTTAATGTTATCTTGTAGGATGCACACGCCGAATCCAGTCTCATCATCGATCCTGGACCCGTCCGTGTACACCTCAAAATCTGCGTTGGTAATATTTTCGTTTAGGATAACAAATTTGCTGCTGGATGGAATATTTTTAATTAAGATATTACTGTCCAGTTGTGTATTGCCCAAGATGTCTGAATAAAGATTGGCGTGCCAGCCCAGATCCGAAACTTAATGAATTCAGTTTTGGCGACCACGTGCAAGGGGGGGGGATCCCAGTTAAGGTGTTTAGAACGTTTGTTGATGTAGTTGATGTAATTTGAGTCAAAAGATTCGTTGAATCGAGTGGAGTCGATCAACTTGTTGTTTAGTGAGGTCCCCACCCCAGTCACTAGCGCCATAGAGCAGGGCCGTCTCAATTACTGTAGAATACCAAAGCGTTATTAGATTTTTGTTGAGACTCCACTTAGTTTTGAAAATACGATTAAAATTACTGGTTAAAAACAATGCCTTATTATGTAGCGTTAAAATGTGGGGGGGGCATGTAAACTTGTTGTCTAGAACTATCCCCAGTATTTTTAAACTGTCGGAAACTTTAATGGAGTAACCATTTATTTTAAAGGTAGGTTTCCAATTCAGGACCGTGGAGTTTCTTTTAGAAAACTTGTATGAACTGATGCTTCGAACAACCAACGCCTGGCACTTCTCTACAGAGAGTTTCAATTTGAGGTCGGATAGGTTATGAGCAATTTGTTCAAGGGCCGAGTTGGTATTACTTTCAAGATCTCTGGCCCTCCTACCACTGACCACAAGTGCCAGGTCGTCGGCAAATGCTTGAGTATAAAAAGTAGTGTTGTTATTACATAAAATAGTATTGATATAAATATTCCAAATGATAGGTGCGATCACTGACCCCTGCGGACAACCCTTAAAACAATGTCTAGTGGTTTCACAAGCGTCATTAGTATATAAAACAGTTCGATCACACAGAAAGTAAAAAATAAAATTCTTATAAAATCTAGGCAGGCCAATGTCATTAAAAATTTTAAAAAGTACCGACCAGTTCATGTTGTCGAAGGCTGAATTAATGTCTAATGAGACGAGGGCAAGGTGGTCAGTGTTCATTTTAAATTTCATTGTCTCGACTAGTGTATGGATGGCCAGATCACAGCTTCTGCCCTCACGGAATCCGTATTGATTATCATGAATAATATTATGTTGATCTAGCCATCCGTTTAATTTGATTAAAAACAGCCTGTCGACAACTTTGCCTAGGGTATGTAACAGGCAAACCGGTCGGTACGAATTACACAAGCCAGGGTCCTTCCCGTCTTTTAAAAGGAAGAAGAACCTGGCGTTCCTCAAACATCTTGGAAAATAGTTAAAAATGAAACAGCGATTAAAAAGACCTAACATAAAAATCTTATCAACAATAAAAACTGCTCTCCACATCCTATAATCAATTCTATCCAGATACGGGGCCTTCCCACCTGTAAGGTTATTAAAAGTTA